TCCCCAGTCTGCCACTGAGCAGGCTAGTGCTATAAGTAACCATGGTCACAAGGCGAGAAATGAAATGCCCCCATATGTGTGTCATGTAAATTACATTAACAAGATTTATATAGGGCCTTTTACCAGCCTTTAGTGATACAGCTTATCAATGCTTAAAATACTTAAAAACTCTGAATTAGCATATTATCTACCAGTTATTTGAGCATGAATGTATCTTCACAGAAAAAAAAAGACATTTGCTGAATAATGTCAGTGTTTATACAAGCTTGTGTTATCTCATCCTGTCTCACGCCCCAGATGTGGGAGTTAGTTGCTGTCAGGGAACACATTGGATACTTTCCTCTAAAGACACAAAAAGGAGCTAATCTATGCTTGAAGAGGAAGATTGAATGGAGGAACTGTCAAAGGTGAGAGAGCTGCAGGGATTTGGGGGGGGGGGGGAGTCAGGCTTAAGTGGAAGTAGAGTGGAGCAATAAAAACTTGGTCCAGACATCTCAGCATCAGAGTGAGCTGAAGGTTTCTCATCCAACAAAACAATAACAATAAGAATACTGCCAAGAAAGAGCAGAAAATACTTAGAGGCGCTATGAGTGGCTCGCCCAGAGCCCTGACCTAAACCGAATCAAATATCTGAGACCTGAGAATGGATGCTGGGCAGAATTTTCTAGAGGAATGTTATTGATCTGAGTCCTGATGCCAAACATCTCTGCAAAAACAAAATTCCCCTTTATTAGTTTAACTTGTTTACTAAAAGACGAGGCTTCTAGTTAGGATATAAAGCTCATACAATACAAGTTGTCTAAACATTCAGACTTTTTTTGATGTGTTTTTTGCTAACGATAACAGCCCAATAACAATTATATTTCAAAATCTTTTAAATCACTTACTCTCACCAAACAACTGGGCCATACACACACACACACACACACACACACACACACACACACACACACACACACTAGGGCTGGGCAATTAATTGAGTTTCGCTTTCAATTACAATTTTGGCTTCCCTTGACCATGAAAACAAGGTAATGGAGATGTAAAGATTACTGTGCAGCATGGGGTGCCACGCTCATTTTGTCATGTGTGGTTAATGTTTCAAAGTGTTAGTTGTTATATTTTGACCACAAAAGTAATTCACCACATTTCACTTTAATTTACTGTTTGTTTTCAGAGTGTTTAAGTGTGATAAAACATGTGATGCAGATCTTGTAAAATCAATGCGTAATCGTGTTATAATTGTGATTTCAATATCAATCTAAATGATTGTGGTTATGACTTTTGCCTTAAATCGAGCAGCCCTAACACAGACTGAACGCAATGTGTATCTATGTTTCAGATAGTGTCAGACAGTGAACATGATCTGTGTGTTAAAGAATAATAAACTGTAGAAAACCCAAACCTAATAAAAAACCTAATAGTTCCTGTCATTACATCATTGATTACTCAGCATAAACATTTGAGTCATGATACACAAAATATGAGATATCACAGAGAGTAATGACCCCCTTTGAACTGTGTTATTAATACTGCTGTGAGGGGATGGGCTGTGGGGTCTACCTTTAAAATCCCCCAAAATCAAATACCTTACACGTTGAGGTGTTACCTGCTAAAAACCAAAGTAGCATCCTGTGATGTTGAAAAATGAGGCCAATGCAGAAGTGCAAAATAGCTGCAGTTCTTCGAGTGCCCACTTGAGGCTGGAAGCAAATGCCTCTGAATACCTATTAACACTCATACTAAAATGTCCTTTTGACAGCAGAAATAAAAATGTTTACAACCTAGTTAAAAAGAAAAAAAATGTAATCAATAGCTCATGACACATTGTACGGGGGTGGGTTAATCATTTTATAACTCCGTCATTTTGATAACACATAGGGAAAGACATGCATAATTAGGGGCGTGGCTTATCTGACTGACAGCTGGGCGCGTTGTAGCTGTTTGCCAGGAGGTTAGGTTCACCTCCCATCAACCTCTTTGTCTGTTAATTGGTTGATCAGAAGTTAGTTAGAAATAGGATTTCCACTTTCCAACCAGTTGGTGATGTCACTGAGAGTACGTCCATGTTATATACAGTTTATGGTAAAATCCCCATCGTTTTGTTTTCTTAGCCCACATGCAGTAACATCAGAACACATAAAAAATGTTGAGGATGAAACTAAATCTAAGCAGTTAACTATACTGCCTTTGTCAAATTGCTTGCAGCAGACTGCAGATGTGTCAACATGGAAAGACTCAGGTCTAAGAGACATCCTCAGGTTGCCATGTTGGGACCAGTTATATGCCTTACATCACAGAGAACAATAGTCTCATGCTTATAGGACTGATATAAATCAGAAAGCAACTGAACTGGAACTCCTACAAAGTGCAATATGTGGTTGCTAAATCCAGAGATCACTGGAGGTACATGCACTCCTGCATATTTTTTGATGTCTGCGTTTCACAGACTCAACAATTTGAAGCTGTCTCTTGGTTTCAGGCCACACTGGTGTAGCAGTGCAGAACAAATACAATAAATCTAAAAGCCGCACAATCGTGCCTCACATTGTTAACATGCACTTTAAACAGTTTGGAAATGCAAAATATGCAAAAACGTGAAAATTCAGTGATTAATCCTTTGACAATCCTTATTTTCAAGTTCAATCCATTCTCAATCCATTACCCAATATCCAATATATTCCAACCTCACTTGGTGCTTCACCTTTGTAACAACGCTTCATGAATAAATGGTAAATGGACTTGGGCTTGTAGCACTTTTCTAGTCTTCTGACTACTCAAAGTGTTTTTACACTGCAGGTCACACCTACACATTTACTGATGGCAGAGGCTGCGATGTAAAATGACCATCAGAGTCTAGTCACATTCATACACATTCACACTCCACCGAGGAAGGAGCGCGCTAAATGTCCTGCCTGCAGGACACATCGGACATGTGGCTGCAGGAGTTTGGGATACAACCAGAATTTCCATGTTAAGTGTCTATCTGCTGAAAATAAAAAATCCAAATACTGTAAATGTTGTTGCTAAATGTCAAGGGAATAACATGCATCAAAGTAGTGAAATAAAATGCTTTTTTTTACAGTTCTGTGTATTGACTGCAGATGGACCACATTAAAAACACATTGCACACAAAAGAGCACATTTGCATTTGCTTAGTGGAAAAAAGAAAAGCTTCACATTCTTGACTCTTCTGACAGTCCATACTGTATATTACCACCACAAAGCATTCCTGTGTGACTGGAGGAACACTTCACACACCAGAGGACATTTGTGTCAGGAAGAGGAGACACGTTCTCTGATTTCCGAGGACAAAGTTGAAGAAGAACGGCTTCACGCTGTGGGACTGAAAAACTTGTCTCTCATTTGACGAGGTATAAAATCAATCAGGGTTATTTGTGTCAGATTAGCCTTTAGGTGCTTCAGCAGTTTAACAAAAGGTGCCTGTGTGTTTCACTGGGATGGATGGATATCTTCTCTTTGTACAGTATCACAACAGGAACATCTGACACAAATACATAACAGATGTCCAACTGCATTTGTAGTAAGCTGACTGGTTTCTTAAAATGTGAAATCGATCATTGGTATGTGGCTTGAATTACACTGTGTCTGCGATTTTTCCTCCAGCTATAAAGCTTTGATCATAAGATTCTCAGAAATTATACATAACAGGAAAAGCCCATCCTAATTTAAGGCCCGGTCCCTTTCACTAGCCTGGTGTTGCTGCAAGTTTTGACAAACTAAGACAGCTCTCACGCTTACATTTATTGCAGATAAAAAGTAAGCAGAAGACGCAGTACAGCAGGTAGGAGCTGTCTTACAAAGTAAGATCAAGTGAGTGATTTGTAGTTACATTTTTGACGATATCTCAACTCTGTACACTGTTAAATATTATTTCTGGTATTATTATTTTTTCTTTTAAGATTTTTTTTGTGGGCTTTTTGTGCCTTTATTGTAGAGATAGGACAGTGGATAGAGTCGGAAATCAGGGAGAGAGAGAGAGTGGGGAATGACATGCAGGAAAGGAGCCAGAAGTGGGATTCGAACCTGGGCCGCCCGCTTTGAGGACCATAGCCTCCATAATGTATTTTTGTTTAACCTTTATTTAACAAGGAAAGAATGTAAAAGATAAGGTGTGAGATAATTGTTCTCTCATAATTAAGTCTTTACTGATTGTAACTGTAAGTGCTTTCCAACGCCTTTATTACAGTTGAAGAGATCATTTTGAGAAACGGCTGTTATTAACAATAATGCATTGGGTGTGTTGGGCATGAGCATACAGTATATTATGGTCAGACCAACCTTAGGCTCTGAGAAAGTTTATGACCATTACACACACAGAGCTGGCAAACGTACAAATGAGCATGTGTGTGTGAAACAGTAAAACTACCCATTCACTGTCCCTCCCCATCTTTTTCACCATACACTATTTATTGATCCTCAATCATCCTTACTCAGCTAAAAACGATAATATGGACAATCCTGTTCAGACACCTGTCATCATCCTCAACGCTGAGATTTTGAGTTTTATGACTTTGGAATAACAAAACCTTACAAGTATTGCTATTACTAAATATCAAATTGAATTACACATTAATCATTACAGAATTAAATTGTATGTTTCCGGCTCCACCAATAATTCACACACACTCTCACGACGGCCTTCAGAGAGTCCGACTCATACCCGAACCATCTTCACCAAATGCCTCAATCAACACAGAGACTGACGTTACAGGAGCATTTCTCTGTATCTAAATACAGGGACACTTTAACATAACAGTAACACAATCAACACTGTGCTTTCAGGACATGTGATGTGTATAATAACTATGGAGAGCATACATTTCAGTTATGTTATATATGTTATATATATATATATATATATATATATACACACAGTATATACTGTGTATATAAACAACAACACAGGCAGCACCAATATCAGCAGGGAGGATTACTTCACACCCACAAACAAACAAACACAAAGGTGTTGATGTGCTTACCCAGAAGGCCTCCCAGCAGGTAGGCTGAAGTGGAAGGTTGAACCATACTCTTCAGTTTAAGTCCTCCGCTCCTCAATGCTTAAACCTCAGCACAGCGTGTGAGAACACTCACACACACAGGGTACGGCCACACACGCTCTTGCTCAGTCCTACCACACTGTTGTTTTCAACTCTTCAGTGTGTGTGTTCAGCGGGACGCACATGTGTCGACAGTCCTCAGGGTTTCATTTCATTGCGCTGCTGAGCATTTCTGAAACATGCTGGCAGTCAGACTCTGGAGTTTTATGTCCCTTGTTCTTCTGCCATCTCCTGCTGCTGACAGTCTGAAGAATAAAAGAGACAAGCCGTGAGGGTGGCAGACAACAAAACAGACAAACAAACAATGAAACTCATAAAAGGATGAAGGCTGGTTGTAAATACACTAACAACAGGGGAGGAGAGTGTGAAAAGCCTGTAAAACTGCTGTGGTTTTTTATTATGCTTTGTTGTATTTGTGAACAGCACAGTTTGTTTTATGATTATGCAGATTTTCTGCCTATCTGTATTCCTATATCAGTAAATTATGGTTTGAAGATTTATTCTTTCTCCCTTTATTCCCACTCTCCGGAGTGCTGGTTTGGTGGAGTGGTTAACACTCACCCCATGTGCAGTGGCTACAGCTCTCGACTTTGCGGCCCTGTGTTGAATCCGACTCTTGGCCCTTTGCTGCATGTCATTTCCCCCTGTACCCTCTGTGTTTCAGACCATATCATTTGACATAGACAGTGCAGGGGAAATCAAGCGAACTGTCACCTCACTGAGACCACCGGTCTTCTTTTCAACAACTGCAGCCATCTTTAACAAGTTATGTCAGGCCTGTAGCAGCCCCCTTTCTGGAGAACAGTTAGAAAGAAATGTTGTCTTTAACTTTTTCTTTAAATAGTAGAAAATCAATTCCTCTATTTTTTTCCATTTGAATCAAACAATCGTTGTTGTTTTTTCTGTTGCAGCCACACCTCCTCCCCCATGTGTGGATACATGGAGTGTTAGATCATGGAGCAGTTCAAGACAGCGCTGTTTGTAATCATTTTTAACAGACACCCAACTCAGCTCGCAAGTAAGCAACCACTCTGCAACAGTACCAAGGAAAAACTTCCTTTGCAGAAATGTATAAAACTGAATCTGGCACATGAACACAGAATAAAGGTGGTTGGGATACGATGATTTCTAAAGACAGTGAATGGAAAAGTAAATGTCATCTGTCTCCAACAGTGATAAGACAGATACTCAGTCAGGGCTACACTGATTCATGTGGGCCTGGTCACCTTGTCTCTCCATTGGTGGAAATGTTCAGTTTAAAGTGAGACATCGCAGCCAGCCTATTTAATTCGAACATGGCTACAGAGTTTACTGATGAATGAACTGTAACAGTGAATCTACCAGATGTATTTAACAGAAGTAATTAAATCATTAATACAATCTTTTAAAACTAAATATTCAGAGTAAATTGTTGATTTCTTAAGTAATTAGCCATGAAGTATAGGTGAAAATGTAATGTATAGGGGGGCAGTAGTGTTGTAGTCAAGACTACGCTAACCAAAACCAAGACATACCTGAGACTGGAGTGCACCAAGACCGAGACAAGACCAAGACATTTAGGGATCGAATAAAAATGTTTTTGATTCCCAGTCGAGACCTTCAAAAAGTGGTCTTGAGACCAAGACTGATTTGGAGTACTCCAACACTAGTGGGCAGGTTTTTACAGAGGAGGAAGGTCAAGTTTAGCACTGTTGTCCTTTGAGTGTCTCATGCTAATATTTCACCTCAAAGCTTTACTCTGGCAAAGTAGCCTGACCGCCTACATGGCTGCAGATTCTGTATTTTTTGGTACAAAATTGGTACAGTCAGAGTTTGATGTCTGATGATAGTGCTTAAATGTTTTATTCCAGTAACCAATTTTTAGTAAGTAAATGTCTGCTCACAGACTAATCCGTTCATCTTTTTCAGCAGTAAGACTGAATGATGTGTAATTGATAAATGTGATTATTAGTATGTTTGAGAACAAACAGTCTGCGTAATAAACAAACAGTCTGACAGTTGATTTTCGGTCCAGGACACAGATTTCAAGGGTCAGTATAGGGGAGGGTGATTACGTCAAGCCCTAATTTGTTTTGATTAAACGGCTAATAATCATAGACTGTAAACATAAAACAACAAAGAATGAGTGACGTCACCCATCTGTTTCTGCAGGGGGGGGGTTAGGAGCGGTCGCCAATTCTTGAAATGCTCTCTGACCCTACCCTTCAGCTGGAGACCAGGCAGGTTTTAACTTTTAAGTTCGCTCAGATGTTTTTTATTAGCATTTAACTTTAAAGTGTATCTGAACAATCCTGGTGTGCGCTGGATTACTCTGATCTTGGAGGCTGTCTGCTCCTGCTCTAGCTGAAACCCGGATGAGGAGCACGGCTGTGGACAAGGCACTCATCAGTCCTCTGGTTTTAAGCCTCTTGACAAACCGTTACATCTTGTCAATTAGGTCAGCTGTGAATAACGCTTATCCTTCATAAAATCAAAACGGATGACTTATCAAAGAATTCAGTGTGTGTCAATCGAGACATGAGCTAATCAGACTTATTTCATTTTTTTGCACCCGGCTGTAAACGTGTTAATTTCTGCTGTAAAAACAGCCTTTTTTAAATTGGTGTGTATGTGACTTTTGGTGTCTCAGCAGCCAGCCTCTAGTGGACACTTGAGGAACTGCAGGATTTTGCACTTCCGCATCAGCTTCAATTTTTAACCCCGGCGGTCGCCGCTTGCTTATAACCAAATATCACATTTCAATGTGGATTAAAAAAAACATGACACTGTCTCTGGGAACCTTTTACTCAGAATATAAAAATAAACCAAAAGATGGATGCTGCTTTACTACTACACGAAGGTTGTTTTTTCAAAACACAACACGACAAGGCTTATCCAGAGGGATGCAGAAAAATGAACATGTTATAAAACAAACATGATCAAAAAAACAAAGAGCAGATGGAAAGTTGAGCAACCAGCAGCTTGATGTATTTAAACCCCAAACTAAAAACTTTCTTCAACCAAAAACTAAACTGATTCTAGAAATAAAGGTTTGGGAAATGTAAAAGAAAAATTGCTTCCTTGACCCTGTTTTACAAATGCTTTCCATGAACTAATGTGCAGCTAAAATAAATGATTCTACAGTTAATGGTCCTTGATGCCTTGTGCTTAAAAACTTAAGCCCTTTCAAATTAAAAGCATTTGTAGTTCCCAAATCCCTGTACATCATGGGGCGGGTATGCTTCTCATTACTGCTGACATGTGGTTTACCTCATCATAAAACTAGTAATTTCTATTCACATTAACACATTTTTTTAATGAGGATATCCACAAAGAATTATGCTCTTAAAATACTTCACCCCATTGGTTTGAAATATTTAACTTTGAGAAAACTTTGAATCACTGAGGAGGAAAAAGACAAAGACACGATAAAGTCCCCTTAAAGTATCTTTACCCCTACAATTTGACTTCAATTGTAAATCAGTTTTTAGTGCAGGAACTTTGGGAGTGATAAATGCTGTGAGCATGTAACAGTGCACACTGTGGGCCTGAAGAAGACAAAAAACAGACTGAAGCTCTGTTTCCCTCAAAGATAGAGGAAAAGTTACTCAGGCCTGGTTTTGTAAAAGTGTAAGGTGTACAAGTGAGAGTTCACACCTTAAACCAGTACAGTATCTGTTACAGGACTGTAACTCACATTTGAGACTGTAACTCACATTTGAGACGGAGCAGCTTTTAGATAACAAACAGTGCAGTGTCATGATGTGCAAAGTTTAACCAGAGAAGTCGGTTACCACCAAAGATGTGTGGCAGTCAGTTTATGGGAATTCAATCCATCATCATTTAAAATTCACTCTCTGGTGTCAAAAAATGTCTACATTGTTTTGACATCACCAAAAGTCAAGTCAAAGTTACATCCCTGTTGCTGTATGTCTTAAAATAAGAGTCAGCCTTTGATCAAATGTGATATAACTGTATAATGTATGTAATGTATTTCCTTTCCTCCTGTCAGTGTCACGAGCCCACACACATAAGACACAAGTCCTAAATACCATAACGACTTTGAATCATGGATGTGAAGCTCGCTGATTTAAAAAAACTCTATCACAAAGCACCTCCTTCCTCTCTTTAAAATATTTTAATGTCAAGTAAACTCCAGCAAAGGTCAGAAATGATGAATGAAGATTTGTTGAAGTTGTTGCGCAGTGTTACGAGGAATCTCTCTCCCGATTTCTTTCAACCTGCACGAAACTGGATGACCTCCAACCACACACACTGTACGAATAAGTTCTGGTCTCTGGTCTGCAGCTACAACAAGATCACCCCACATAACCTCTCAGCAAAATGGATGGGAACAAAATGCTTATGAAATGTTGCTCTTTCATGCTCTGAGTCACTACGGTCATTCCTACATGAAGGAAGAAATTAAAGCTCTGTAAACCGGCTGTGAGGCTTCAAAGAACAGTACACATGGTGGATCTTTTTGGACTTTACTGACTGAGATGTTTTGAGGACCAACAGTCAGTATGAGTACACAGAGACTTTAACACCATACATCTTTTCTTGTAAGGACTGGGGGCAGTAGTAGCTTGGTCTGTTGGGACTTGTCTTGGCACCCAAAGGGTTTTGGAAAATTGGGAATGTTTGCTGCCTTGACACTGCCATGTTGTCCTAGAACAAGGCACTGAAACCCAAAATGTTCAGGGTGCTAGTCTGCGTGTATTTCAGGACTATACCCTAGCCAACAGCTAAATCCTGATTGTTATTGTACAGGAAGAGGTTTCTAGGAGGGGGGACTGGAACAGATTTAGACCACAAGTCAAGGAATGTATTGGGGAAAAGCTGGACCATCATCCTCTGAGAGACTTTAACAGAACCCTAGTCAGATTCTTTGGAATGTTTTTACCACCGATCATAAAACCAGAACCAGAACTTCATTAGAGACCTGCACTTGCAAACAATCTGGATGAAAAATAAAAAGCCCTCAGTGCCCTTCTCTAAGCTCTCCTGCAGGACATGCTCTCCCAGCTAAGGGTTCCTGCCTCAACCTGCAGTTGAATTGACACTTACGTTGGATATATGAGGCAGCAGGTGGAACTGGAAAACATCAATGTGAGGCTGTTTACACCTTGCATTTAACATCTGCTGATAGATAGCCCTACTAGGTGTGAACGCACCCTGATGCATCCTGAAGACAGATTGTGATTCGACAGCTCAGACCTCATTGGTGGCATTTGTCCACATGGGTTTGGTAGTGTAAACCCTCATGCAACGTAAAGGACTTCAACTGGGAGAACACTTCTGCTTCCCACTGGGTGTAAACTGTGATGCAGTCAGTCTTATTAAACAGAAATGATGCACATGCACTTATTTGCAAGTGAAAGTGAAGTGATCTCAGATATACAAAATGGAGCGCATTGTAAATGCAAAGAGTAAAACGCCCGCGCTGAAGTGCTGTGCACTTGTTATCAGATCACCTAGGACTCTTCTTAATGCAAGGAGTCTGTCTCCTAAACTAACAGCACTGGATCCACCAGAAGCTGTGTCCTTTCCCTTCGCCTCTTCTACAGTTATCAATCAACCTCACAACATTTGAAGATTATACCACCGTCTCTGATTTGGATAAATCCACCAACAAGTTTGAGATTAACTTCATATCCAAGAGTTCAGAATTTAATTGGTTATAAGAAGTTTAATTTAAATAAATGTCAAAAGTTGAAGGAGGGTCAATGAAGGCTACACAGCTAGATTTCACAAATTTCACAGTGTCATAGTTTTATTGTACCAGAGCCCCCTGCAGGAACAGATGGCTGACATCACTCAGGCTTCGTCTAATAATTTTTACAGTCTATGGTTCTTACAGGCAGTGCACAGAGGCAAAACATATTTTCCCTTTGAATTTAAGTTAATATATATCATCATCAACTACAACATTGACAGCTGCTCACTTCCTGAGCACTGCCGAAACCACCAACTGCTTTTGCGCTCTTGCATATATAGCCCCTCACTCGGACATTTCTCCAATAGTGCATAAAGGATGCTGTTTGTACATGTGTCTGTGTACTTCTGGCTATGTGTATGTCTCAACAACAATGTAAAACTCTTCACTTCAGGTGTTATCAGAGCAGAGTGTACAGCTTAGCACACTGCTCATGTCTCACACCTGCAGTTTGTACTTTCAGGCTATAATTTGAAGCACATTTGTTAGTCAAATCAGCCCCTTTAATAGTCAGGTTTCAAATGTGGAACAGAGCAGAAATCATTCAGTAAAAGTTATTTACATTCTGCTGACCAGAGTTACAAAATGTGATTATAGAGGACATGTTATGCACACATGACCAGACACAAAACCAAAATGTTACAACATGTTTGCTCTAGGCCAAACTTTTTGCACCCACACAAACATGATGCATCAAAGCTGCATACAGAGTGCCTCAGAGTGCAGCCAGAAAATGACAGGGGCTCTGATTTCTTCTTTGGTAAAGGACATGCTATATGAAACAGGGCCTACATAACATGTAGATTCTAAAAAAACATGTACAAGATTATACAGGCCTATATTTATATACGTTGTATACCTCAGCAGTCTATACATCCCTCCTATTCACTCAAACTTTGACCTGATCCATCAGCACAGTGTCAAAACTTCATCCCTATTCTTAAACCAAACAGCCCGAGATGACGTGAGACTTGTTCAAAACGTCTCCAAACAGTCATCACTAAAGGAACCAAACCTCAAACTGGACCTCACAAGGATCAAAAAAGAAAAAGCGAGTGCACACACAAACATACAAAAAAATACAAAAACCATTGGAGCTTTTTCCCCCTGTTAGTTCAATCTTTGGATTTTCTTTTGTAACTTCATATTCACTTTAACAATAAATAAACAAGACTTGACGGCTTAAACAGCTGAATTTCAGCTGTGACCATGCAGGCTAAAAGAAAAAGGTGGTCACTGTCAGCTGTATGTAAGTCCACCTAACGCAGCTGCATTCATGCATTCTGCAAAGCAATCAACATAATGCTCATATAACTGCTTCTTCATTGTGTTGACTGAACTTTTGTCAACCTTTCCCTCATTCACTCCTCCTGCGCTCACTAGGTGTTAAAATAAACTGAGGCGGATGTTTACTTCGTCCAACTGTGACCTGGCAAAGGAAATCAAAGTTCACCCACCCATTAAGTTATCAGTCTATGACTGGTATTGGACATTTTTCAGCTACTTGTTGCATAAGTCCACGCAGGTTGAGCCACATAATTTATTAGCCTCCTGACCCTGATATGCCGGCGCATGTTATCACTGATATCTGCAGAGGTAGAGCGTCAATGGAGAAATCAATATGCGCACCTAGCGAAAGTGAAAGTATTTCTACACATCTAAAGGGAAAAACCTCGAGCAAAGCAAACTTTTAAAACACACGGCAGCACACACCTGTGATTGCAAGACGACATTTGTAAACGGAAAAGTACATCCTGGGGATCCATAAAATAGTGCCACACACACTCAGAGACTCAAACACGCACCTCGATAGTCCCCCTTTCGCCCGTCTCCCGGGATCCGCTCAGAGGTGGCACGTCGGGATGAGTCTTTGTTCAATTAGAAGAGTGGTCTGCCTGATATGGGTCCAATCCTGATATGAATAAAGGAAAGTCTATTCCTGTCCCCGTCCATTGACGCAGCATTCGTGTTCCTTGTCCGAGTGTGCCGCCAAGAGCGCAACAGGCTGGCCTGCAGCTCTCCGAGTCCACTCCGCAGACACGCCACTTACACTGGCTGGCTGCTTTCAAAATAAAACAGAGCGCGTCGCGGAGCTTCTCTGCTCTGCATGGTAGACAGTCCTCCATCCTTCCTCCCCTCCCTCCCCTCGCTCTCGCTCTCTCTCTCTCTCTCTCTCTCCCCACTCCTCTCTCTCTCTCTCCCTCCCACTCTCTCTCCCTCCCTCCCCTCTCTCTCTCTCTCTCTCCCTCCCCACTCCTCTCTCTCTCTCTCCCTCCCTCCCCTCTCTCCCTCTCTCTCTCCCTCCCCTCCTCTCGCTCTCTCCCTTCCCCTCCTCTCTCTCTCCCTCCCTCCTCCTATCTCTCTCTCTGTCTCTCTTTTTGCTTACTCACATCTTCCATATAATAACTCCAATCAACCATTGGATGTGCATGGTCAAATTTAATAAATTACATTTTTAAAAAGTCTATCAAAATAATAATAAATATAATATATATTGATATCTTTGTTCGTAAATAGCCTAACGATACATTTATTTGTCTTCTTGGCCCTTTTGAACCAAAGTGGGGTTGCTGCAGTGCTTCTGTTGAGCATTTTGTCAGCATTGCTTTTTATAGCGATATTTCCAACAATGATCCTAAATGTAACCTGCAGACAGTGTGCTTGGCCGTGAACTCCTTACCCTGACAATCTTGTTTTGCCATTAGTGGACTGGAGGATTAAACTTGGCAGTAAACAGGCTGTCTGTGTTATGGGCTGTCAGGTTTCACACGGTTTTTTTGTTCTAGAACATATTGACTTGACCCTCAGCAGGACACCATGTGCTGTGCATCAGCCTTTTAACATCTTGGCATTTTTGTCACGTAACACCCGAGGCGTCAGTCAAAGGGAGTTTTACTTTGAAATTTAAGCGGAACTGTCTTTATTGTATGTCGGCTGCCCGGAAAGTGAAACAATCATAACAAGTAACAGATGACACCTGACCCCTTCTGCAGATCCCCACCATCTTATGCCGTTTTCTCCATATAAATGTACAGCTGCTGGTTGCGTCGCGTTATTGCGCATCCATTCACCGCCATTACGCATCATTACAGACCAGAGCCAGATGATCACACGCCAAATGACTCCGAGCCAAACCTCCACCACAACCGCATGTGTCGCTCCAGGCTGGCTGCTGAGCTCAGAGGGGGAAGCCCGCAGGAGAGCGGCGGCATGGACACAGCTGAGCTCGGCAGGGTTTTTCACGACTGTTTCCATTAAGTCACGGATTGTGCTACTTTTTTTAAACCAATTTTTAAATGTATTATTCTTTTTTTTTTTTAGAAGGAGCATGTCAAGAAAAAAACTTTTTTTAGAAGGTTACAGAATAAACCAAAGTTGTTAAATTTATAGGTCAAATGACACCACTTTATAACAGGCTGTACATTAAGGGGAAACACAGTGAAGTCACCAGCTGTATTAATGGGGGGAAAATCTTGGTTTTCATCCTTCCAAATTCAGCCTTAGAACAGCAGGGCATCCAGTTTCCTGCTTTACCAGCTAAACAGAGTTTTCAGCTTGTAAAGTTATTTTCTAGTCTTAGCGCTTGTACACCTTAGGTCAAACCTACCCAGGCATTCACACACTGATGGTAGAGGTTGCTATATAAAGTGGCCTTCAGTATTAACTAATCCCATTCATACACATTCATATGCTGCCGATGAAGCAGTATCAGACATGTGGCTATAGTAGTGTGGGATCGAACCTTGAACTTTCCAGTTGAGAGACTACTGACATACAAAAATATTTTTTATTTATACAATACATAAAGGAATATAAAAATGCAAATATGAAATTATTAAAGTATTATTAAGTTTCTATAAAGTGACAGCTCTTCATTTATAAAGTCATTAAGGGTTTTAAGGTCCCAAAAGCAGTTTTGCTAATCTAGCCTCAATGGCAGGTGTACAAAATATCACATTTGTTCCAGCCTATACAAATGCATTAAAGAATCTACATTTAGAAAGCAGAGCTGTTATAATGTACCGACAAGTTCCTAGGGTTGTTTTCTATACAGACCAGCAACAGCATTTCTATCACCATGACATTTACCTTAACACCAATAATAAAACATTATGAAAATTTTGCATTGTAAGTTAGATTGATTGATGAAAAAAAATGGTATATTTATTTTAGTTATTTGGACTCCGCTGTGTGAAAGTTTCAGGACAAAATGCTTCAATCAGAGCATTGTACACTGAATACATCATTTATTTTTTACTGACATTAAAGTATACAAATTAAAATACAATAATAAAAAAAATAATCTAAAGAGAAGGGTTTCATCGTAAGAAAAACCCAAATTCCTAAGAAATAATAACAATAATAAAAACCACCCTGTGACCTCAGTATCCTCCGTGGTGCTGCAGTTACAGCCCTGGGGCAACTCAGCCTGAAAAGTTACAAGATATTACTCACTGTGGGAGTTTTCCTCCTCTATCCTGGTCCGTGTTTACACCCAACCTCAGGCCCAAAGCAAACCTCAGGCGTGATATGCCAAAATACAGACGGCCCATTCCCTACCAGGGATAAAAACACAGTGGACCATTGCAAGTGGTGAAGCCGGGGAGGAGATGGTCGAATATGAGAAGCTCAAATTAGAAGCCTGCTTTGACTGCACTGAGAAGCTGCAGTAGACGACCAAAGATGAACCCACAGACGCTCTGACCTCAATATCAGCTTTGGTGAAATTGAGTGGGCCAACACATTTTTTGCATGAAAAAAAAAAACCTGGGTATGTAGCTAAACTCAGCCAGCTTTGTCCAACAAAGGAAGCGAAGATATTATCCTTTACAACGATAGGTTAATCGCTATAGACAAAAGGAGATCAGAGCAGCATGGCCAATATTTCAGCACCCATCAAGGGGGGATTTTAGCTTCACAGCTGTCCAAGGAGCAGGTTGAGGCACCCAGCTCCTGCAGTAACATGTCGATGTGTCCTTAGGCAAGACACTTAACCCCAAGTTGCTCCTGCTGCTTCGTTGATAAGTGTTGTATGAATGGATTAGTTAATACTGATAGATACTTTACATGTGGTGTGAATGAATGGGTACGTGTGATCTGTGGTGGAAAATGTGCTTTGAGTTGTCAGAAGACTAAAAAAAAGTGTTTTTAAAGCTCAAGTCTATTTTACATCCTTCACTGTACCATTCCTGCCTGAGAGCTCCAGTCGGGAAGTTCCACAACTGTGGGGCCGGAACTGCAAAGGTTTGGTCACCTTTTTGTCACCTGTCGAGTTTAAAGAACCTCTAGTTAGTCCCGCAGGAGGATCTCAGGGGGGCGGCCAGGCTCTTAGAGAGTTAGCAGATCATGATAAAGGGTGGGGCCCGACCATTTAAGGCTTTATAAAAAACAGGCAAGAAAGGAACTGTTTCATACAATGGCTGAGGCCAAGAGACAGAAGAAGAGGACGGTGACAGATGAAATTAAGAAGAAAAAAAAGAAAGAGTGACCGAGCAAGAAGCTGGACCAGAGGAAATATTGGACAGGCTTTACATGGTGGCGAGAGCTTTATGAAACAGCAGTTAGTAATCCATTATCGTAATGTTAAAACTTAACATATTACATATGTGTTGTTGCAAACTGGTTACAACACCCAGCAAGTATTTTATGATCTGTTTCATGGCTAATGGGAAAGCAACAATCTGACGCCAGAGTGTCCATCCTTGCAGATATTCTCCATAAAAGACTGTGACATAACATTATGCATCATTAACAATGTCATCGTTGTCTCATGTTTAACAGCTTAAAAAAAACAAAATTTTGTTGCTTCAATGGAAGAGACAGGTCAGGACCAGGCAGAGGGTTGGGGAGCCGGCAGGTAAGGGTCCAAAGATTGCTCATGAATAGTGATAAGTATGACGCAGTAATTGAAATCCACAGAGGATAAAACTTCAAGGAAATGCTTAACAGCCCAGGGGAGAGGACCTGTGGTCAGAGGTGTTTTCCAAGATAGCATCGGTGGTCAGAGGCGGGCAGGGTTGACAACAGGTTATCAATCCAAAAAAAAAAGAAAGTTGGAAAGTTCTGCCCCAACTGAGACGAAAAAAAACCAAAATCAGGTACATTTCTTTCTCCCACTTACTTAGAAGTTTTAGGGTTTTTAAAGCTTTAAATGGCAAGGCCTCACCTTATATCTGTGATCTGCTAACTCTCTAAGAGCCTGGCCGCCTCCAGCAGGGCCTACTTGCGGTTCCTAAAACTTGACAGGTCACAAAAGATGAGCGAGCCTTTGGAGTTCAGACCCCATGTTGTGGAACTTTCCTCTAAATCTTTGCAAATGTTGAAGAATAAACACCAACCAAAATCAAAAAGGACAATTATAATGTTATTTTCACGTCTTTGTCAAAATGTATAAGAGCACATTCTTAAATTCACATCCACAAAGTTTTGTGAATTCTACCACACATGGCTGGAGACCATAATGAAATCACAATGAGCTCATGTATGGAAGTGAATGAAAGAGACTGATCCAATCACTGCAGCGGAGACCCTTGGAAGCTAAGAGGAAAATCCAATGAAGGGTCTAAATATAGCAGAAATGTTCCCTGGAACAGAGCCCCAGTTATGGCTGAGAGTTAAGAGTACTTTATGTCTTTAACTGTCCTCCCTGCATGTCCTGTCAACAAGACATACTTTGTCAATAGAAGTCTGGATACAAAGTATAGAGGAACATTTGGCTTCATTCACTTTATTTAACAGATAACTGTATGCACACTTTTCTGTTTTATGAACTTTGATGTAAACTGACTCAATCTTGAGCATGTCAGAGATTTTATTTTGTTGAACCAATTAAAGGGGGGGGGGTGTTTATAAAAACCAAGAGGGTACTTCCCAAAGAAATCCAAGTCCTATGTTTGTCCATTAAGTTTTATGATGCATACTGTAACCTTTATGAGTAAACACAGATCCTGCAGCCATCTGCCTGAGAGAACCTCTAAATAGTCCTGAACAGTCTCCTTCTTCAGTAAAAAAAACATCAAAAAGAAATGAGGTGTCACGCAACCATAAAACAAGCTGTAAAAGTGGCAGAACCACATTAATTTTTATGAGGTGCGAAACTAAATTCTTGGCAGCAGAACTGGGATGGTCATTTCAAGGCTCATAGCAGC